CGTTTAACGCGTAAGGATTGCGCGAGTCGTTCGCTTATGAACGTAACTTCGGAACCCTGGTCCAGCAGGGCCCTGACGGTTTCGGTTCGGTGATCGCGTGAGCGGACAGAAACCTCGGCGGTGGCGAGTAAGACCGGCGTGGGATCCGCGTCGGCGGCGATCGCATTCATCGCGGATACTTGCGAGTTGGCGGGCAACTCTCCGGTCGTATTCGCATGGTCGGATTGATCGGGCGTCGGCGTAGCAGTTGAGGAAGAGATCGACTCAGAGTGCAAAAGCGTGTGATGCTTTTGCTGGCACGTGCGGCACGTGAATGTGCTTGTACAATCGCTAACACTGTGCCGAGCACTCAGGCAATTATAGCATCGATTTGTCTGCTTTACTAAGTCGCGTCTCTGAGTCGCACTCTTGCTCAAGAACTTGGTACACTTGCTCAAGTAATGAGCGCCTTTGCACAATGGGCACGCTACCTCTTTTGATTTCGTCGCGGCGACGTTGTGTGCCCTGGCCTGCCGAGGCTTGGCGGACGCCGCGGGAGCGATCTCCTCGAGGGCAACAGCGCGCGAGTTTATGAATTTCTTAAGAGTTTCATACGTGGGAACCGTGTCTGAATTGTCGGAACAGCATTTCAATTTCCACGCTCGTTTCGTCGCGGGATCTAGTTTTTGCGATACGAGGTAAACAAGTATATCGCTTAACTGTTCGTCCGAGCTTCGCTTTAGTTGCTTCAAGGCGGATATCGCGCGCTCCGCTTGATCGCGTAAAGCGTGGAGTTCAACGGCGGACTCGCGGGAAACCGAAGGTAAATTGTAGAGTGACGCAACGTGAACATCTATTAATTTTCGCTTATTTTCAAAACGAGCAACAAGTGCGTCCCACGCTGTTTGGAAGTTATCGGCGGTAATGGAAATTCCGGATATAGTGTCGCGAGCGCGACCAGTTAAGCTGGATGCCAGAAAATGCATTCTAGAGAAGTTTGAAATGTCTTTATTTGCGATGATTAACGATTTGAATCGGTCGCGAAAAGTCTCCCAATCAGCCGCGTCCCCGGAGAAAGGAGGCAGTTTGATCGGCGGAAGATGCTGTAGCGACAGTGATGATGATTCGGAGATCTCTGATACCGAAACATTAGCAGAGGTTTGGTTGTGTCTCACGATAGGCTCGAGGATTTCCAATTGCTCAGTCATGTAGTCCAGTGTCGCCAGAAAAATGTCCTCGTGCGCGTCAAGTTGACCCTCAGCAAAGTACGGAATTGTCTCTCGCTCGGATTCGGTGTACTGGCTCGAGAGCGCGGCGTGTCCTTGCTTGCACTGCTGCCACGTCTCCTTCAGCGACGTCATTCTCGAACGGAGTTTGGCGGGAGTGAAATTGTTCCTCCCGATCTTCTTGAGATTGTCCAGTGCCTTGGACACGGAATGGAGCAGCGAAAGCTGCATCTCTAATAGTTGAGGCATTTTGCGACTCACTCGTGCGCGGTGCTGGCACAAGGATGGATAATGAGCTTGGTTGCGTCGCGGTAGTACCTCGCACTCAATGTATGTAAGTCTTTGTCTTAGAACGGTTTGG